GAGTTATTTATACGAGTATATCAATGGAATCGGATTTTTTTTTCTGCGTCGATTTGTCCTATTTTCATTTAAAAAGAAATTGATATTGCTTAGTAATTTTGAAATTCGACAATTTTTTGAAGTTTTCGGCTATCAACCGAAGAAAATTTTCATCGTTTTAAAAAATATTCCTTTTAATCTACTGTTTTTCTACTTAATGAATCTAAATTTATCCTATTTTTGGTATAAATTATTTTGGCTTTAAGTTACTTTTTTACCGAACTCACGAAAAACTAACAACGTACTTGGCTATTTTTCCTAGATAAAATTTTTATTTTTTATAGCTTCTATCCTTTTACCTGTACTTAGTATTAGATATTTGTTATTTAGATATTTTTACCAGGTCTGATTAACAAAAAGATGTCGTTTAGTGACATTTTTCCTTTCTGTAATTTTTTTTGCTTAGATGAATGTGACCTGCCATTTCGTTGTCGACGACTTCAGTTGAGTCTTTCACGTTGATCTTAAACTGTCGTGTAACTGGGCTGTGATTTAATATTGGAGTGGTTGTTAGGAATAAAAAAAATTGAATCGTGAGTGAATAGGTGCGTGACCGTTCGTCCCAGTGACTAGCCGCTTGGTCAAGAGAAGTGGTAGCTATTTTCATTTAAGTTTATTTATTTTTCTGCTGTTGTGACAATGTTTGAGTTACTCGTATTTTACGAATATTAATCTATATTTTTACATCACGCCATAAGCAGGAGTGCTACCGGGCCTAGTCTGAAGCATTGATGTCGCGGGATGCAAACATCAAGAAGAAAAGAAGTATAATTTATAAGTATAATTCCGATTCCAAGTCCTTCAAAAAAAGCGCTCAGTGCGCAAAGGACTTATCTCCCCGTACGTCACTCAGCTGGTGATGTTCTAGTGTATAATTGCCGACATAAGTCGTGAGCACACTTTTTATTGGTCGACCACGTTGACCACGCTGACGTTCAACGTGATTGGTTCATCAGTCGATTCTCGTCGTCTATTGGTTTCGAACGTATCATTTGGCTTCCGTACACTCGCGAGCAATAATTTTAGTGATAACTTTTTTAATTAGTTTATTTTTGTTAATTATTTTTGTTACCTCGTTGTTAATTGTTGTTTGTGTATTCCTTGTTGTTAATTGTTTTTGTTATTTCTTGTTTTTATTTATTTTTGTTGTTATATTTTAGTGTTCAAATTTTGGTCTAAATATGCAGAGAAGGAAGAATTCGGTGTTCAATTGACAATCCCGACAAATGGTTTATTCAGTGTTTAGTTATATGAAAAAATTAGGTACTGCGAAAAACATCATAGACGTATATAAACGACTGCTGAGGCGACTAATGTCTCAGTTGCTACTGTACGGCGCCCCGCAACATCAGATTTTATGGAAAGCATATCACCTCTTCCTTCTTCTTAATAAAATAATCAATTCTAACCACCAGGTATACATTAAATACTTTATAGTAGATAATAAAATAACGGACACGAATATCTGCAACATTACTGTATCAAAGTAAAAGTTGATGTGTTCGAGTAAACATTTTTATAAAAGTTGGCGAAAATATTCAATTACGAATTGAAATATTAAAGGTACCCAATAATTTTGCCCGCCAGTGTACCTACCTCCCACCACATTTTATCTGTGCTCATGACTCGTGTCGGCAACTATACTTGAATCCAAGATGATGGATGCAATAGAGTCCTAAAGGAAGACATTGGCTTTTAGTTTGGACATATTGAAGGCCTTCGATTGGTTTTCGCACAAAGCGCTTCTTTCGAAGCTTCGTTCGTATGAGCTTTCCAACAATTGTGCAAATTGTTCACCAGTTCTCTTGCAGATCGGAGCACAAGGCTGCGTGCTAACACCTGCGCTGTTTATTTTGCATATCAATTAGATGTTGCAAACCAGTAACATTAATTAATATACGGATGACAGCACGGGTGATATATTTACACGTGTCGTACCAATATTTCTCGGGAACACGTCGTTGAGTACCAGACTAAACTTGTCTTTGAAGTCGAGTCTTTGTTAAATAAAGTCTCAGATTGGTCTCTGAAGACACAAGTTTGCGTGTTCACCGCTGAAATGAACTCCTTTGTTGTATCTCTTCAATTTGAGGGCTTCTTCATTCTCGGCGTCGACTTATCGAATAACGTTTTCCACGGTAAATTGGAAGGGAAGGCTAAATTTGCTTAAAAAGCCTGGCGTGCTTGTACTTCTGAACACAGCTTGTAACTTTACCAAGACGCAAGTTCAATTTTACATGGAATATTGTTCTCATCTCTGGGCCGTTACTACGTTAATAATCTCGTTCTTTCTGATTCACTGGTTTGTAAGAATTCCTCAAGTTCTCTTCACAGCGAACTTGAGGAATTCTTTGGATTAATTTCAGCCGCCAAATTCCACCAACACACATTGTGACAAAACTCACGACACCATCTATACCATCTGGATCCTTGGTGGTCTACCACTGTGCGATTTACTAGGAGTTTCTTCATTGCCACCACTCCTTTTTAAGAAGCTATTCTGACTAATTTTACGTGGATGTCCGTACGGATGTATATATGTATGTGTGTGTGTGTGTGTGTGTTTGTGTGTGTGCGTAAGTAGGTAAACCTTTTTTGTAGTGGATTTTGAGAAATCTCAAAAATAAAAATTTTGAAAAACTGTTTTTTGGAATAACTTTTAAACGGCTTTACCCATCGATTTTAAAAACAAATCAACTCTTAACCTCAAAAAATCACGTCGAATGCCGTTTGGAAAATAAAAATCAGTATGACGTTCGCCAGATATCGAAGGAGAAAAAAATCTTTTTTTAAAATAACTTCGAGATTTCGCAACATAATTTGGTGCAATTTGTAGCGCTTTGCATTTGAAATTAGCGGGAAGTTCCGGGGATGGCCTACAGTGTCTTCCGATTTTTTTTAAATATAATTAATCAACACGTGTCAACTCACTAGCGCCTAGCCAGTAACTGAGTAAAGTGCGGCACTAACGCCGCAATTGAATGGTACAGCGTAACTAAATGCAGTGTCGCCTCTAGTACGTATAGTCAACCAAATCTAAGAAATTTCTTTTGACTTTTCGCATTAATACCGCAACAACTTTGCACAAGCGTACTCACACGATTTAAAATAACCTTTTACGTACATCCGAAGAATTATGAATTTATCTATATTTCATTACAACGTGTATAGTTTTTTATCGCTAATTTAAATTAGAATCTTTCAAACAAAGCAAAATATTTAAAAAATAACCCATATCTACTTTTTACTTGAAGTCGTTTAAATAATATGTCGCTTTGTACCTTACGGTAGTGTTTGGATGATTAAAATTCATTATTATAATATTCAAATAATCGAATCATTAAATTTTAAATGTATTATTTGATTATTAAATATTTAGTACCCGGTTGACCGAGTTTGCTCGTTTTTTTTTTAATTCGTGTGTTTTGGAAATTGTATTTAGATACAAATTACATACTGATGAAATACGAATAATATTTTTGATCTTATTGACATAATAGAAAAAACTGAACTGGTTATTTGAATAAAAAATCATGAGTGCAATTAGTTTAATTTAAATTTTCGTGTTTTTAAAAAATACTAAAAAAAGGGCTCGATAAATAGATTTTCTCTAAAACAAAAGAACTTGAAAAAAAAAATTAAAAAAAGTCGGTCGGTCGGTCTGGGCTCGAAACATGGTTTTACGATTTTGTGACCGCCCAATATACCAATTAAGCCATTTGTAATCATTAATATACTGTCAAAATTTACCTTATTATTCTAACGATATTGTAGCAGTTTTTCATTGCGTAAAAACACGGACAAAAAGACATTTTCTAAAAATAAATCCTAGCTAGATCGATTTATTGCCCCCGAAACTCCCTGCACACAAAATTTTATGAAAATCGTTGGAGCCGTTTCCGAGATTCCGATTATATACATATATATATATATATATATATATATATATATATATATATATATATATATATATATATATATATATATATATATATATATATATATATATATAATCGGTGTCATTTATATACAAGAATTGCTCGTTTAAAGGTATAGGATTTTTAAAATTCCTTAAATTACATGAATTATGAAGAAAACAAGTTTATATTTTTGCTTTATCAACGTAAATTTGTGTAGGCGAAAAAACTCATACAAGGCCGTGCTGAAAAAATCGCTACCTAATTTCAACCTCCCGCCATTTCGGGAGCTCACTATGCATAATTTTGTGATTTTGTGTTTGTCTTCTTATTTTATAAATCGGCTTTAAATTCTTTGGACTGTTTATTTTATATTCGTTGAAGTATGTGCCCATGTCACAAAGGATGCTTGGGTAAAAGTAGTAGAAAAAAATAAAAAATAGTTATGGATTACTTTGAAAGAGACTTTTGAATGAATTATTTAAATTCAAATAATAATTAAATTAAGCAACGAAAGCTCAATTAGTTGTACTGAAAGTGATTGAATAAATTTATTTTTAAACTAGTTTTATCTTAAATTTTTGTATCTCTGCCTCTAGATATAAGCAGTAACTACAAATACGAAGAAACTGATAAATCTTGTATTTTAAATTATCCGTCTTTAATTTATAATGGTATTATTTAAACCAAACTGTAAATGATTACCAACTCTAATTAATCGATATCGATTTTTTTAAGAATCGAATATTGTAGTTCCCATTTTTTGGTTGACATTCCTGATCCATACAGTAATCTATGTTCCTAGTGCAATAAGTCTGGCTGCTGTCAAAATGTATTTAATATAATAAAGTGAAAACAATAATTAAAAAAATAACAAAGTGAAAAAAATACAGTATACATATCAATATTGGTTTCTATAATTCTGCGTATTTCTGCGCGTGTAATTTTTTTAAATCAATGAAACGATTGTCTATTTTTTTTAAATTAAAATGCGAATATTTACGTCACTTTTCGTTTGTTTTTAAATAAAGTAAAAGTATAACAATGGAGGCGGACGAGGATTTTGTAGGTTGCATTAGTTGCTTGAATAAAAAAGATTTATGCGACCTATTTGCTGTTTACGCTAAAAATGAAGAAACCTACGCGCAAATGTTAAAAACTTGTTTTGATATTAAGGTTATGTTTACGTCTATTATTTTTAAGAATTTTATTGTAATATTACATTTAAATTAATTATGATTTGAGTTTTTAGCAGCATTGTATTTATTGTTTTAACATCCAGTCAATTATCATAGAATTGTAAATAATAATTAATTATAGGTTTCGTATGATAACAAGTTCATTTGTTCCGATTGCGCGGAAACACTGGAGAAAGCCGCCGCTTTCAAAAATCAAACTAGTAAAAACTTGGCAATGCTGCAAAGTACTAAAGGTATTTTAAAATTATTTACTATTAACTCAATCTTGTTTTTAAAATTATTATTCAGACTGCATTGAAGTAGTCCAGAAATCTTCAATTATATCTGTTATATTGGTTAAGAAATGCAACGAACATCTGCGACTCAAGTCTATAATGTGTGACGGGCAACCATCGGTTTTGTCCGACATAAGCTCTTAGTCCTCGCAGCTGAGAGGAAAGACATAATATACATATACATATTATGTACTATATGTCTTACTATAATGTAATTAACAATATCAGGAATTACCCTTGGGAAATTTAAAAATTAATAACCAGTAAGTTACTAGCAGTGGTTACTCATTTCTTTTAACTTTATAGAATGGTTGTGCCAAACTAGCACACAGTCCACCTGAAGGTAAGTGGATGCTGTGGCCCATATGCATCTACATTTATCTTCAATTAAGACAGGCCTGAAGTAGAAGTTTTGCTTCTGCATTTCGTCTGATTAGTGCTGGTGGCCGGAGACCCCATTCCCCCCCTCCCTTAACATGGTAGCGGAGTTAAATATAACACTACCCCAGGAGGGTACCTGCATCCCAGGTGACGGCGAATCCTTTGCTGAACATCCATGCCGAAACTCCCCTACTCTTCTTGAGCGTCGGTGCTCAGGCTGCCCCTCGTATTCTGGGGGTCGAAATTCCGCTCGAAACTAAACCTACTTGGGGAAAATGGAGAAATAAGTCAAAGGCGCCCCCTGTCACGCTATCTGTGGATTTCTGCAACATCAAGGGACTTCATTAACCCTAAAGCCATACACGAAGCTGGCCGGCACTTTCTAACCGAGACACAGGTGTCCTCTCCAGCTGACACTTCATATCTCTCCTACCCAGGGTACAGATTAGAACACTCTTGAGCCCTGGGCTGGAGTTTGCGTGTATGTCAGAGAGGACATCTGTACGACCATCCCCGCGTCTACTGGTGCCTATATAGGTCCCATAGCGGTAATGCCGACACAGACCGACTGATCGACCACGCCCAGATGGCTGCAGACTCCATGCTACAACGGGTCCCATCCGCAGAGATTGTGATACTTGGTGATTTTAACGCCCACCATGCTGAATGGCTTGGTTCACGTTTAACCAATCATGCAAGGTAGACCTGTTTATGACTTTGCTTTGGCATATGGTCTGACACAACTGGTTACCTCGCCTATGCGGATCTCAGATGTAGAAGTTCATGTACCTTCCCTGTTGGACCTTCTGCTGACCTCTCATCTGGACGGATATCAGGTCTCCGTTAATGCCCCTCTTGGCTCCTCGGACCATTGTCTGATCCTGAGTATGGTGTCACTCACGCTCCCATCGCGGTTGTGTACTGCAGTGTTTGGCATCATAGGTCAACCAATTGGGACGTGATGTGATCTTTTTTTGCATCCTACCCTTGGAGGCGGGTTTGGTTCTCGCCGAATGATCCCAGCGTTGTTGCTGATTTTGTCGCTGATGTGGTGATACAGGGAATAGAACTATTTATTCCATCATCTGTGGTACCTATCGGAGACAGAACCCAGCCTTGGTTTGGTCGCTCCTGTAAAATCGCATTACATCATAAGCAGGAGTGTTACCAGGCCTGGGCTGCACATCGACGTCTCGGGATGTAAATACCAGCGTTCTTAAAAATTCTGTTTCCAGGTTCTTCAAAAGTGTCATTGTCAAGGCAAAGTCAGAGCACATCGGTAGAATAGGCGAGAAACTTGTTCGTCTTACTTCGGAAACACGTGCATTCTGGTCTCTCGCCAAGGCTGTCCAAGGGAACTTCTACCAGCGATCTCTTGCATCTCTGCACAGGAAGGATGACTCACTGGCCCATGCCGCAAAGGACAAAGCCGATCTACTGGGCTCTCTCTTTGCCTCCAACTTGACTCTTGATGACGGGGGGAAAACACTGCCGATCATCCCGTGGTGTGAGTGCTCCATGCAGGATGTGCTGTTTACCCGACGCTCGGTGCGCAGAGCACTCCTCTCCCTGGACATCAACAAGTCGAGTGGGCCTGATGGCGTCCCTCCTATTTTGCTGAATACGTGTGCTCCGGAGTTGGCACCGGTCTTAACGCGTCTTTTCCGGTACTCCTACTCCCTAGGCGTAGTCCCGAAATCATGGAAGACAGCTTTCGTGCACCCGATCCCTAAAAAAGGTAACCGCTCTGATCCGTACAACTATAGGTATATCGCCATCACCTCCTTGTTCTCTAAAATAATGGAATCTATTATTAACAGCCAGCTCATGCGGTACCTTGAGGATCACCAGCTGATTTGTTACCGCCAGTACGGTTTCCTTCGCGGTCGCTCGGCTGGTGATCTTCTAGGTTACCTTAAATGGGCGAAGGCAGTAGAGTCCAAGAGGGAGGCGTTGGCCGTTAGTTTGGATATAGCGAAGGCCTTCGATCGGGTTTGGCACATTACAAGCCCATTAACGCTGGTGTCCCACAAGGCTGCGTGCTATCACCAACACTGTTTCTTCTGCAATATCAATGACATGTTGCAAATCGGTAGCATCAATTGCTATGCAGACGACAGCACTGGTGATGCTTTATACACCGGCCGTGCCAATATTTTTCGGGAAAACGTCGCCGAGTACCGGGACAAACTTGTGTCTAAAGTCGAGACTTTGTTGAACAAAGTCTCGGATTGGGTGCGACTAAATCTAGTCCAGTTTAATCCCCAGAAGACACAAGTTTGCGCGTTTACCGCTAAAAAGAAACCCTTCATCGTATCTCCTCAGTTTCAAGGCACTGCCCTTGTAGCCTCAGCCAGTATCGGGATCCTCGGCGTCGACATATCGAGTGACGTGCAGTTTCGTGGTCATTTGGAGGGGAAGGCCAAATTGGCCTCTAAAAAGCTAGGCGTGCTCAGAAGTGCGAGACAATATTTTTTGCCGGCCTGCAACTTTACTTTACGAGGCGCAGGTTCGGCCGCACATGGAATACTGTTCCGATCTCTGGGCCAGGGCTCCCCAGTGCCAGCTCCTTCCATTTGATGGCATCCACCGCAGAGCAGTTCGAATCATCGGCGACCGAGGTCTTTCCGATCGCCTTGACTCACTGGTCCTGCGAAGAGATGTTGCATCTCTTTGCGTTTTTTATTTTATATATGAATTGTTCGGACTAATCCCAGCAGCACAGTTTCACCATCGCACTCGCATATCGCGACAAAACTCGCGATACCATCCGTACCATCTGGATGACTGGCGGTTCAGCACTAAGCGATTTAAAAGAAGTTCTCTTCCTTGCACAACTTCCTTGTGGAATCAACTATCACCAGAGATTTTTCCGGATCGATACGACTTAGGGACCTTCAAGAAAAGATCCTACCCCTTTTTAAAAGGCCGGCAACGCATTTGCAATTCCCCTGGTGTTGCAGTTGCTCATGGGCGGCGATAATCACTTACCATCAGGTAGTATGCTCGTTTGCCCCTCTCCTATAAAAAAGGTGGACCCTGGTGACCTGTAATACGGGTATCTTATCCACCATAAGCACTAGCGATCCACGGGCAAAGTTGTCATGTACTACTTATATGCTACTCATAACTCTGAATGTAACTTTGTTTGTGGTGAGAAATAAACGTTATTATTTTATTAGATAAAAAGTATAAATAGTGTATTGTTCTGCCACGTAAAAAACATTCCTGCACGCTCAATTTATATTATCAGATGAGGAGTATCTAGATGAATCAATCCTGGAAGAAGCAGAAAGTGTATCCTCAGAACAATGTAATTCCAATAAGAAATCAACTAAGACACAGTATGTAGCTTCTAATTCTGAGGACGTTGGTGGTAAGTTCCATCTTTCCTTTATTCCTTTTTTAGAATAATGATGACAAATCAGCACACAGTCCACATGATGGTATGTGGATGCTGCGGCACGAGACACCTACTCGTACAACTATCCCAGATTAGGATTCACAATGCAAATGCATTGTTAACCCTGAGGAGTCTCATTTTTCACATACGCTGGTATGATGGTGGAGTAGCATTAATCTACATACGCTGGTATTCTGCAAAAACGTGATATTTCTCCGGTCGAGCCGACATATTTTTCCTGCAACAATAATACATATGCAGTGTGTCTCTGCTACGTAACACGTTTAACTTAGTAAGAAAAATTTAACTTTGTATATTTAATAAGTACTAGTCATAAGACTCAGCAGAACAAGGATTATTGATCCTCTATGACGAGAGAAGCGAAATCGGGAGAAATAAGAGTTAAGCGAAATAAGCCGTCATGTACTGGAGATCCGCCCAGGCTTCGCACGGGGGATTTCTGATTCTCAACAACAGCGCCATCTACCGGGTGGAATTGAGCTTTTAAACCATTCAGGAAACCCCCCCCCCCCCACTCAAATACGCACAAAAATTCATAAAAATCTTTCGCACCGTTTTCGAGTTTTAGCGAAACTAATGGACAGCAACTGATTTTTATATATAAGATAAGAATCTTATATTAATTAATCAGTCAGATCTGATCTGATTAATTTTAAACTATCAAGTGTACATCTGCCTTAAGTTCGACACTAAGTTCCTACTACTAAGGGTTAAGGGTGTCACTTGAAAGGTGAGATCAAATTAGTCTGTAAGTTTTACATAGTGTGCTAAGAGCGGGATAGTATTCATTGCAACTTTAGCGGACCGATATGACTTAGATTCCTTCAAGAAAAGTGCCTAATCTGATAAAGACCGGCAGCGAAACTGTATTCCTCTGGTATTGCAGTTATTCATGGGTGGCGATAGTTACTATCAGATGAGTCGAACGTTCGTTTGCCCCCTCAACTATATAAAAAATCCCCAGTCAACAGGTTTCGAAAGGTAGAGACATTGGATATGCATGTAAAAAATTACTCCCGTATCGTGGATGCTTATTCTTCTTTTTCATCCTCTGGTAGAAGTCTCAGAAGGATTTACCTTAATTGAGACAAGTGGCTCGATCATCGCAATACGATTTTTTTATAGGATAAGGGTCACAATCGAGCACACAGTCCACCTGATAGTAAGTTGGATGTCTTGGCTCATAGAAATCTATCTACATCTATCCTCGTTTACGAATCAAAATACAGATGCGTTGTCATCCATAAGGACTAAGATGGAATGCTTCGTTTCCAGTAAAAAGGTTCTCCGGTGCTCTACACTCACCATACGAAACACAGCAGCATTAAGCTGCTATTTTACGCTGGTATTCCGTGAGAACGTGGTTCTTCTTCGGTCGAGCCGACCGATTCGTGCACCAACTATAATACTAATATAACTGCAGGATGACGATCTATATACGTACGTACATTGACCGTGTAGTGATGAAGTGGGAGTATTCACTACATTGTATTAGCTATGCGACTTCGTTCCGGACACATTCCGTATAACAAGTTTGCTTTCACGATGAAAAAGAAACAATCTCAAAATTGCGAAACATGCAAAACAATACGAGGGCGGTACTGAAAATTTCGGGAATCAAGGAAGTGACACAACATTACTATTTAAAAATGTATTTATTACTTTTCGAAGTATTCTTCGCGAAATTTAACACATTTTTCCGTACGATGGAACCAATCATTGAAACAACCATTCCATTCGGAAGTTGGGGTCTCCAAAATGGCCGTTTTGTAGGCGTCCACAGCTTTTTCAGGTGATGAAAATCTCTGTCCACGCAATTTATTCTTTATTTTAGGAAAAGTATAGAAATCATTAGGGCTTAGGTCGGGGCTGTACGGCGGATGGTCTAATAATTCTATGTTTTCTTGCTCTAAAAACTCTTTTGTTCTGTGTGCGGTGTGAGAGCTCGCATTGTCGTGATGGAGGATGATGCGGCGGTTGCAGTCTCCGTGAACGAACAATTTTTGTTGGCTATAACCAATGTCTAAAGTTGCCTGAATTTCGCGGTATGTCACATGTCGATCTTCCTCAATCAGCTTACGCACAGCATCAACGTTTTCTTGGGTGACTGCAGTTTTTGGACGACCTTGACGGGGATCATTACTGAACTTGACACGTCCACGTTGAAATTCAGCAAACCAGCGATAAATTGTGGTTTTGAATGGGGCTTCATCACCAAGTGCAGAAATCTTCCGGTCAACACACTGTTTTTGTGTTAAACCACCTCGAAAGTCATAATAAATCATCGCTCTTTAATTTTCTCGAGTCAATTCCATTTTCAAGGAGTTTTCAATTAAAAAGATTTTAATATGATAGAAACAGTGGAAATATTCCATTCCCGATACTTTTAGTGCAGCCTAGTAGAAGATGTACAACACTTGCTCGCAGAATGTTCAAAAAATCATCACGAAAGGAAACTACTAGTCGCCAAAACTGACATTAAAATATGTACCTAGGGGAATATCAAAGCATTCTGTCTGAACCAATGTCAAATGCTGCTCAAATGGTATATAATTTAGTTAATATTTTGTGTAAATAATTTAATAAATTGTATTGTGCTATTTAGTTATAACATACAATGAGACCGACATGTTAAAAATAACGTAAGTCCCTAAATTAAAAAGGAATTAAAAAAAATTCACTACAGCGTCTCGTTGAGGAGACAGGGGGAAACACACCAGAAGGTGAACAGCAACGTCTACGTCAAATAACAAATAAAAATGTAAAACTACGTTTGCCAACCTGCCTGCCAAGCGTGGCAACCACCTATGAAGTAAAATATGGGGTAGGCTGGGTAGGTGGGGTATTCAGCAGTGGACTTTGATAGGCTATGATGGGAAACCAGTACACGGTTTACTTGAATGTAAAAGAACGCTGTGGTAAATATGCATCGTTTCCTGGTGTAGGTTATTTTCTGTTTTTTATAAAACGTTACCCCTACACTAGGCAGTTTACAAACATAAATTGCACAAGGACAATCATACAGACTCGGAACAATTATTTGTAGACCATACAAATACTTGATCCGTGCGGGATTCGAACCCGCGGCCCCCAGTGCAGCAACTCATTATAAGCCACGGAGCCGTCATACTTTTTGAGACATTATGGCTCGGGGGTTGGGTGCTCTCCCCGAACGGGTTTCCGCCTTGTTCTAGCGTAAGAGTGGGGGGTGGTCCAAGTAGAACACCATTGTATTTTAGTCGGAGCGAATCTGACGTAACGCGTCCTTGTCACCGCGAGGATTATCTCATAAAAAATAAAGGCCGCTCGTTTTAAATTTCACTGTAAGAGGTTCGTTTTGACGTATCAGTGTCTGCTATATTTAGTACACATACATGCAGATGGGTTATCACATCCAAGAACCTAAGATCAAATGCCTAGTTACCAATAAAACGTCGTCGGCTCTCGCCACTTACCATATCAAACATAGCAGCATTAAGTTGCTATTTTACACTAGTATTAGTAGCTGATAGGCTGTTCGTGCTGCAATTAGAATATAGCTACAGAGTGGCTCTATCACGTAACCATAATCGCTCACCAGACGAGAGCACGTAAATTGGAAGAGAGACCTAAGCCCTCCTACGCGTATACTTACAACTCGTCTGGCCAACTCTTCTGTCATACGATGCCAAAGTATGTATATAGGACCAAATTTGGTCTAACGCGCCATATAAGAGCACATGATAGGCCATAGTTCCTATATATATATTGGATTTTCATTTCACTTGAAACGCTAGTACCACTAGTAAAAGCTCTTTATTCGCGGGGTAAATGTTCCGTAAATATGCCGCGAATACAGAAACCGTGAATATGGAATAGTATGGGATTATATATGGGATTATAAAAGATACGTTCCTAGGTGACAAAATAAAAAAAAAACAAATATATAGAAAAATCAATTAAATTTAAGTTTTTGACCATATTAATTAATTTTTATTTTCAGACTTAGGCAATGGTTTAAAGAATTTTGTAATTTTTTCGTGCTTGGCAGTTTTTAAAAGATCCTCCAATTCTCCAAAAGAAATCTTTAGCCGCGAATATATCGCTTTTTTTAATCCGCGAATAGTGAAAACGCGAATGTAGGAAGCGCGAATAAGTAGCTTTGAGACCTGTGCTTAGCAGTGGGACGTATTTAGGCTGTAACTTCATTTTACTGAACATTTAGACGAGGACCTCGAGATTCAAGCATTGGATGACACCATCTGTATTTACTGCAACGTCCAACTCCCCACCGCTGACGAAATAAGTCACCACATCCGCGTCGTGCACGGGCTCGAGCCGAAAACTGGGATGCAGATTCGGGAATGCTCTTTATGCGGTGCTTCGTTGAGGAATCTGGCTGATCATCTTAACAGGTATTACAGTAAATCTTTCCTTCTAATTTTAAAAGGCCTTTGTTCAGTTTCTATGATGAATTTAATGAAACTGATTTTTTTACGTGGTAGTGCCACGCTGCATCTATATTATAGTTGTAGCACGAATGGGTCAGCTCGACCGGAGCAGAACTACGCTCTCATAGAATACCAAAGTAAAATAGCAGCGTATTGCTGTGTTTCGTATGGTGAGTGTAGAGAACCGGAGACCCTTTTAACTGGAATCGAGGCATTCCATCTTAGTCTTCACAGGTGACAACTGACAATGCATTTACATTTCGATTCTTAATTGAGGATACATGTGTATGAGCAACATTATCCACTTACCATCAGGTGCACTGTGTGCTCGCTTGTCACCCAATGCTATAAAAATATAATGAAATAAGTGTAATGTAGGGAGGTTCGGGGGGATAAATAATGCGTCTACTGGTCTTGAATGTAGGTTTATTACTCTCCAAATGTCTATTAGGCTATCATATATATATAGCTACATGAGCATACAGTAAACACACACTACACGCCCATCGGCAAAAAAGAAAAAAAATTGAATTACAACATTTTTTTTTTTCAATAAAACAAAACTTGGTGTAAGATTCAAAAAAATATTAATTATTTAAAAATATTAAAATTCCTATCATATATCAAACTTGTAACATAATAAAATAAAAATAAAATATCGTAAACACTGTAATTTGAAAAGAATAACTTTCTATCTCTTTATTTAAATTTATTAAACTATCATCAAATTTAAGTTTAATTTAAGTTTTTGTTTTAAATTGCTTTTAGTTCGCCTATCATAACTGCATAACATTTAAAATTTTCATATATAACTATTAATTCACTAGACACGAGAATACAGTTTAAAAAAAAATAATTTAAATTAATTGTAATAGTGTAGTATAGATTTAATTAATTCTACCAATATTAGTTGTATACCTAAAGGTTAAAAGCAGCGAACGTAATTTTTTAAAGATCTATTCTATCTCACCTGTATCCACAAATAAAATAAAATTGAATTTGATCACATGGTCTCAGTTTATAACCACTGTCGGGCCAAATTTAGTTATTAGATTTTACTGTCAAGAAATTCTCAAGGGCAGCTAAGAGTCAGGAAGTTGGCCGTATTCCATCCTCGTGCTTCGGAAAACGCGGAAGAATCATCAGACTATATCAAATATGGCAATAGGGGGTGTACCTGTGCTTGCCCACACACTGGCGTTATATTTTAATTTTTTCTTGCGCAGATGACTTATGACGGTTGAGTTTTTTGGTTTGAAGTAAGGATGATAAGCATTAAGCACGCAATCCATATTTTGGTAGGTGGATGTTGTGGTCCATGGATAACTACATTTAGTCATAAGTATTAAATTGCAGATATGTTATTACCCTTGAAAACTGAGATGGAATGTGCGTTACCAGTTGAAAGGTTTCCTGTATGTAATTTAACGCAGATATTCCGTGCGAGCGAGGTTCTTTCATGATCGAGCCTACTTAGTTTCGTATGGTGAGTTTAGAAACGAGTCATTTGCCTTGGACCTCAGGGGTAATCGAAAAAAGATGTTTTGTTTTTATAGAATAAGGGTGACAAACGAGCACAAAGTCAACCTGATGGTAAGTGGATGCTGTGGCCCATAGAAATTTACATTTACCATCGATTAAGAATCAAAACCCAGATGCGTTGTCACCCCTGAGTACTAAGATGGAATGTCCCGTTTCCAGTAAAAAAGGGTCTCCGGATCTCTACACTCACCGTACAAAACACAGCATTATTAAGCTTTAAACGACCAATTCGTGCTACAACCATGATATAGCGTTTAACGTTGAATGTGATGGATGTATATGCTATGCATGGGCCAAGCATAAGTGTTGCACACATATTCCATAAAAAATCTATCTTTAATAGCTAAGGTGGCTGTAGGCTACAGCATCCACTTACGATCAAGTGGACTGTGTGCCTGTTTGTGGCCCTTACTTCTTTAAAAAAAAAACTAAACCCGATGTCATATTACTTTAGATGCCACAACTCAAACTTGGAGAGAGAAGAAAGACAGTACGCGTGCCATTTCTGCGACAACGTCTACAACAGTAAGAAGGCCTGCTTCACTCATTTGCGAATGAAACATGGATGTAAGAACAGTTGTTTTTATTTATTTATTTATTTAGAAGTCCGTTTGGGTGGCTACTACCTAAAGCACTGCTTTGCTTCGGTCTGTCGGTCGGTATAATAGACAACCAATACAATTTTGGGCAGTGAGGAATTTCATTATAGTCTTCATAACCATCGGTAACAAGTAACAACGCATCTGTAATCTTCTTTCATCATCAACACTTACGAAGTTCGGAACATAGTTCTCGAGCCAGGTTTAAATTGTTCCTGCGATGTGACCACAAGCCAAATTTTACTGGAAGAAGATCCGAGGCACATTTTAAAAATGTGTATCACTAAGATATACACGATCTAAGTAGCCTCTTGATAAACTTTGGTTTAGTTTTTACTTCATCTTCACAAAAATGATTTTCTTGTATACGTCTCCTTCCTTACTACTATAAAGTCAACTGCGCATGGCCCACTCAAGTCGTACGAAGATTTACTTTATTCGTCGCCTTTTAATAATCAGAAGTCTGACCTGTTTTATATACAGTAGACCCACGGTAATCCGGCCCCTGGCTAATCCGTCCCCCTTTGTAATCCGACATGTCTTTAACTTGTAGATAGATCCGAGTCGCGCTATGAATCGACAAACAGATTGCAATTACGAGTAGTTCCCGCCACCACGAATCTAGCTTGATGTGTATTGTCTCAATTCAAATGCGACTATGATAGCGGCCTAGCGGGCATTTATTACTTACTGTTTAGGTATTCATTGTGCATCACATAGCATTTTGATTTTTTACTATGTAATAATTGATATGTAATCTGTCGGATTACAAGATACTCTTTTTCAAAAAGTTCCGGACTACCAGGGGGTTGTGACAGTACTCTATAGCCCGACAAAGTCGATAATCAGACGCCGCCTTGCAACACGTTTGTCGGATTACTGCGGGTCAACTGTATACCACGTATGTTATACGTGGTGGATCCACGCTGTAGCTATATTATAGTTGTACCACGTATGGGTTGGCTCGACCGGGACTGGACCACGTTCTAACAGAATACCAGCGTAAAATAGCAGCTTAATGCTGCTGTGTTTCGTATGGTGAGTGTAGACAACCGGAGACCCTTTTTACTGGAAACGAGGGACATTCCATCTTAGTCCTCATGGGTGACAACGCGTCTGCATTTTGACTCTTAATTGAAGATAAATGTGGATGTCTATGGACCACAGCATCCATTTACCATCGGGTGGACTATGTGCTCGTTAGTCACCCAATGCCCTAAAAACATTTTAATCCTGATTTCGAGATAGTTCTATCGCCATCCATTTTAAATATCCATTAGATGTGTACGTGGTAGAGCCAAACCACAGCTATATTATAATTGTAGCACGAAAGGTTCGGCTCAACCTGGGAAAGACCACGTTCTCACATAATCCTATGCTACTGTGTTTCGTATGGTGAGTGTAGAGAACCGGAGACGCTTACTGCATAGTGCTCGGTTGTCAAGCCTCAAAAATCAAGCGAAGGCGGAACGGTTCGCTAGTTCGCTAGTACTATATTACAGGTTTTTTTTATAGAATAAGGGTGACAAATGAGCACATAGTTCACCTGAAGGTAACTGTATGCTGAGACCAATAGACATTTACATCTATTCTCGATTAAAAATCAAAATGCAGATGTGTTGTCGCCCTTGAGGACTAAGATGGAATGCCTCGTTTCCAGTAAAAAGGGTCACCGGTTCTCTACACTCATCATTTCGAAACACAGCAGCATTAAGCTGCTAATTCACTCTGGCATTCTGTGAGAACGTGGTCCTTCCTAGTTGGATTGATTATTCTTTATTTTGCAACACCTTTCATTACTCTTATTATTCAACGTCTATTTTTTACTCTTTCCATATAATACTATATTATTTTGAAGTGTTCTATATATTTATAGCTTATTCTGAGAAAAAAAACTTCAATACTTATATAAATGAGATAATTATTTACAATAATTAATGTTTAATTTACGCTCAGCAGTGCAGATGAGAATACATACGTCATCCCATTTCGTCCCCATCACGTTTACACCAGGTTACCGTTACCCTTAAAGCCTATTAAAGCTAGTCTATTGCTGAACATGGGCCTCCCTCTTAGATTGCTTCATAGGACGGATATTTGCCATAGTTGCCACGCTTGGCAAATGGGTTGGCAACCGCAGTTTTATATTATTAGTCGTTATTGGTAAGACAACAGTGTCTAACATAGAATACTGTAGTACATACATAATAGAACGGGAGAGTGGGTCGAGCCTGTGTAGCCACTAACTTGTCAGTTCACACCTATAAATGTCAACACATCTCTTTTGACGTTACAATCGTTTCCAATTTTCGTGACAAGCGTCACTGCATGCATATTATATTAAAAAAAAAATGCGAAATAGCACACTATTTACAAATAAATATGTATTAAAATTTAAAGGATTTATTTTTTTCATGATGATCTTGAACATTAATCAAAGTCTATAATGTGTAAATTTGCTCAGTCTGTCAACACAGCGAATCGGGTTTGTAGTAGTGATAATACGACGTAATTGCTTGTATGTGTGTTCCCGGCGACGCCGATCCTCGTACAAAATAAGGTTGACAGCCATTCTATTGTGTATTGTAGTATTCTTATGGTGTCTAACATACCACCACCTGATTTTTTTCCCTCTGTCGCCTCTTACGATACCCACGTCATTATATGGGGTAGTGGTTATTTTTACACCGCCACTACGCAGCCCAGATTGGTGCGAGTAAATCTTTCCCACAAAAGAAAAGCCCAATCCCCAGCTGTGAACTTCACTTCGCTTTCTATTTCGTGCAGTGAAGCTCTGTAACGATCACACACCGAATTATTCGTCGAGCGATCGAAAGAAGTGTCACATTTGTCAGCGCGACTTCAGTCAGAAGCAGATACTCAACAACCATTTGTGGAAAGCACATGGATACGAGGTTTGTGCTTAACACTTTGAAACAGGGCATCGTGTATAAGATTAAATATGTTAACAAATAATTAGCTACAAGATCCGTGTAAGAATATAAAATGTGTCTTACCTAGTTTATAGTTCTGGCAGCCTTTGGCGGCATATTTGGATTCGGCAACCCCTCGTGGCAGCTATTGCTGGGGACAAACTATTTTATGGTTGTAGCACGAATGGGTCGGCTCAACCGGGGTAGTACCACGCTCTCACAGAATACCAATGTAAAATAGCAGTTTTTCGTATGGTGAGTGTAGAGAACTGGAGACCTTTTTAACTGAAAACAGAGTATTCTATGTTAGTCCTCAGGGGTGACAATGCATTTGAATTTTGAATCTTAGTCGAGGATAAATGCAGATGCCTATGGACTACAGCATCCACTTACCATCAGCTGGATTTGCTCGTTTTTATAAAAAAAAAAAACAGTCTACCTGACTATAGGCACTATCATCTGTCCTCGTTTAAAAATTTGAATCTAGAGGTACGCTTCTGTACCCTGTGGAATTCTCGTTACTAGTAAAAAAGTTGCATTTGCTATCTACTTTTGCCCTTTATCGTATCTGTACCAGTAAACGTAAACATAGAAGTATTACTTCAAGATAACCAAGCGCGATATATGCGAATATAGGTCAGTTTTTTTTTTAATAGAAGAGGGGCAAACGAGCATACGGATCACCTGATGCTAAGTGACTACCGCCGCCCATGAACATCCACAAGACCAGAGGAATTGCAGGTGCATTGGCGGCCCTTTAGAAAGGAGTAAACTCTTTTCTTGAAGGTCCCCAGGTCGTATCGGTCCGGAAAAATCGCCGGTGGTAAACTATTCCACAGAAAAATCGTAAGCGGAAGTAAACTCCTAGTGAAACGTACAGTGGTAGACCGCCAAGCATCCAGATGGTGTGGATGGTATCGGGAGGCTTGTCGCGTAGTGCATTCATGAAATTTGGCGGCCGGGATTAATCCGCACAATTCTTCAGAGTACTTCCCGTGATAGATGCGATAAAATACGCAAAGTGATGCAACATCTCTTCGCAGCGCCAATGAATCGCGCCGATCGGAAAGCACTCGGTCGTCGACGATTCAAGCCGCTCTGCGCTGGATGCGGTCAAGTGGAAGGAGCTGGCACTGGGGAGCCCCAGCCCAGAGATGGGAACAGTATTCCATGTGCGGCCGAACCTGCGCCTTGTGAAGTTGCAGGCGGTGTGCCGGCATGAAATACTGTCCCGCTCTGCTGAGCACGCCAAGCTTTTTAGAGGCCACTTTGGCCTTCGCTTCCAAGTGACCACGAAACTGCACGTCACACGATATGTCGACGCCGAGGATCCCGATACTGGCTGAGGCAACAAGAGGAGTGCCTTGAAACTGAGGAGATACGACAAAGGGGTTCTTTTTAGCAGTTAACGCGCAAACTTGTGTCTTCTGAGGGTTAAATTGGACTAGATTTAATCACCCCCAATCCGAGACTTTGTTCAGCAAAGACTCGACTTCAGACACAAGTTTGTCCCGGTACTCGGAGACGTTTACCCGAGAAATATTGGCACGGCCGGTGTACAGAGCACCACCAGTGCTCAAATCAGCATAGCAATGAATGTTGCTGGTTTGCAACATATCATTGATGTGCAGAAGAAACAGCGTTGGTAATAGCACGCAGCCTTGTCGAACACCAGTATTAATAGTCTTGTAATCGGAACTTGCACCGTGTACAACGACCTTGATGCTCCCATCTGCAAGAAAGCTGGTGATCCGTGTGTCAGACCATATGCCAAGGCAAAATCGTGAACAGATCTCCGCGCATGATCGGTTGAACTTGAACCAAGCCATTTGACGTGGTGGGGGTTAAAATCGCCGAGGATCACGATCTCTGCGGAGGGGCTCTGCTGTAGCAACGAATCTGTAGCCATTTGGACGTGGTCGAAGAGTCGGTCTGTTTCGGCATTACCGCTATGGGACCTATAGAGGCACCCGTAGAGGCACGGATGGTCGTCGCAGTCTACGCGTAGCCAAAGTATGGACAGGTCCGAACCTTCAAGACTGCCGAGGCAGCGAGAACAGATGTCCTCTCTGACGTAAACGCAAACTTCAGCCCGAGGCACAAAGAAGTGTTCAAGTTTGTAACCCGGATATGATACGAAGCATCAGCCAGAGAGCACACCTGCGTCTCGGTCAGAATGAGCAGAGCCGGCCTCGCCGTCTCGAGATGGTAGTGACAGTATTTTACACAAACTCACTCATAAACTAACATTTTTTTTCTTACAACACGGCATGCACAGTTGAATGTTGACCTTATATCCTGATAGTTTTTAGGTTCAATTGCCATACGTCACACATGTCGCTTACAACGTTTATTATATGACGCCATTGCACTCGTTCATTTCACGCAACTTAAAAGTATTCAATGCAAATGTAAGAATGTAAGACATGATTATCATTAGAGGCTATCAAAGTTCACTGCTGAACTTAAGTATCCATTAAGTTTGCCTCATAATGTAATGTCGGCCAGACTCAACGTAGACTAGCCATCAGCACTGGACAGGATTCTAGTGCCCAAGTGTATGCGCAAGCACAGGTGCACTCTCTATTCCCATAGTCTCATAGTCCGATGGGACGGTAAACCGACACGACCGGAGAGAGATCAGGCGCAGGATTAACGACTTTACGTGCTTTACGAGGCACGGGGGTGAGACACTGCCAACTTCCTGACTCCGGGCATCTACTGAGAATTTCTTGAAGGAAAAACTCAATATTTAACTGATTTTTATCTGAACCGACCCGGGAATCGAACCCGGGACCTCATGATCTAGTTATAATAGTCTAGTCTAGTCTATAATAGTCTATCGTTGTAATAGTCTAGTTAGTACCTCGTTGGTCTAGTGACTAGACCAACGAGGCAGCCAAGTTTGCTTCATAAGGGTGATATTTGCCATAGTAGCCACGCTTTGCAGCCAGATTGCCAACTGCAGTTTTAATTTTCCAGTTTTTATTAAAGACGAAGAGGTAGTAAAGACGCTGCATCCATCTCCTGGTTTTGTTTCCCTTCACCGTCTCTTACGACACCCACGGTACGATATTTGGTAATTAGTTCTCTTGCACTGCCAGTATATGACACAATTCTCCTAGGAGTAGTAAAATATAGGAGCTTAATGCTGTTGTGATTCTAACGAATTCGACTGAATTCAGATGAGACTTATTAAACGAAAAAGCGACACTAAAAGAGACAAATATATACATCTATAGGATTTAGCCTGCGAGAGAATGAGATAGAATACATGTATAGTGGTTAATATTATCTCGGTCTCCTTTTCTGAAAGTTTCACTTCTATCGCATGTGGACTGCACACATGTTTTTTTTTATCTAAATTTTAACCTCACCTGCAACTGATACATGCTGCAGACAGAATTTTACATGAGCGGTATCAACTCTGCGGTCACTATTTCATCTGCAAAGCGTGTTGAATATGGGTAACTCTTTCCAAGTAATACGTACCAATTTTCTTGGAAATTTCTATCCCCTATTGGACGTTGTGTTTGTTTAGTAAATTACTTCTTTTAGGTGTCTTTTGGAAGAATATTCACTAGAGCAATTGAAAGCCGTTGCTAATGCCTTATAAGCTAAGTGAACCCCGTTCACGAAGACAGGGCTCGAGAAAGGTTAAGAACATTAAAACGTCCCGTAAAACGTATAATTCGTGTGGTGAGTCTAGAGAACTGGAGACCCTTATTACTGGAAACGATGCATTGCATTTCAGTATTCAGGGCTGACAACGCATCTACATTTAGATTCTTAATCGAGGCTAAATTTAGTAGATGTCTTTATGTCACAGCATATGCTTACCATCAGATGGACTGTGTACTCGTTTGTGACCCTTATGGTGGCCACACACGGTCAGTTCAACTGATCATTCCAACTGATAACAGTTCAAACTAAAACCCTTGATATTTTTTAAAATAGTGGATTTTCTATATATCGATCATATATAAATATACTAATATCGGAGTTTTACATGTAAGTTTATTTATGGATATATCGAAAATCCGATATTTTAAAAAATATCAACGGTTTTAACTTGAACTGATCAGTTGAACTGACCGTGTGGCCACCATAAATCTATTAAAAAATATTGTTAAAATTGAAAAAATGTATACAATCGCCAACAACAACGATAGGTGGAGAAGCGCAAGGCTTTCTTCTGTCCACTCTGCAACGAGAGAGTTAGCTACGGCACCAACTTCAGCGCGCATCTTCTGCACCGCCATCAGGTCCGGGAGCAGGTTGAGCAGCTCGAGTTTAGCAGCATGGATGGTGAGACACCTTCATTTTTTATTCTTATTCCTAATTATTTATTCATAATTGTTTCTTACATTCAAATTGTTTTATGTATGCTGACGATTTAAAATTCTGCAAAATCGTTAATAAAACGTCAGACATGATACTTCTTCAGGAGGATTTAATTAGACTTTCCAAATGGTGCGATGTTAATGTAATGAATCTTAATCTAAAAAGAATGTGTACACGTTAAATTCACGCGCAAAAATAATATTTTCCCATCAGTTTATACCTTCAATGGAGTACTTATCCAAGAAGTGGAAACTGTTAAGGACCTAGGTGTAGTATTCGATAAAAAGCTTACATTTATACCACAACTAGAAAGTGTTATTAAAAGATCATCTCAATCATTAGGTTTTCTTATAAGAAATAGTAAAGAATTCCGTAATGTTACCACAAAAAAACTTTTATACTTCTCAATTGTTAGAAGTATTTTAGAACATTGTAGCCGTAGACAGAGAAACCTATAGACTAATGATCGGCGTGGCCTCGAGTGAGAAAGGACTATAACGAATTTTAGGTTATACAATAATCTTTATGACTTTTAAACACATTTAGATAAAATTTTTAATTGTTTTAAGAACTGTTGAACTGAACAAGATTCACCAATCTTAGGCTCACAAAACACTTTTTTCTCACTTAAACCAACTTGTAAACTCCTTAAATCGCTACGCTGTTAAAGTTGTTTAGCAAACTGTAGAGTTTGCTAAACAAAAAAAACCGGCACGGAGAAAGGGACAAACAATCACACCGCTCTATCTCATTTCTATGCAAGACGTATGCATAAATCTATCTTTGTCGTGTGCGAATGCGAAAGAAGGCGTCAATTTGTCTATAGGTTTCTCTGTCTACGATTGTAGCACTGTCTGGCGTCCCCATTATTCTACCCATAACCTTTGCCTTGAGCGTATACAAAAATGATTTCTATGCTATTTTGCCTTTTCAACACGAAAAACATATAAAAACGCATCGTATGTAGACAGATTAAAGACATTTAAAATGGACTCACTGTGTAAACGCCGGGATATTCCGGATTTGCAACTTTTATATAAAATATTTAGAAATAAGTTAGATTGTCCTTTATTACTAAGTAAATTTAATCTTCGTATCCCAATTAGATATCCTCGTAAGCACATTATTCCTCTTTCACCGCCCCTTCGTAGATCTGCACTAGGATCTAATTCCCCAATACCCAGACTTTGCAGACTTTTAACTACTTATAATAATGTAGTAGATATTCACCACGACTCTTTTAACGTTTTTTGTATTAATTTTTTTTGTAAATTGTGTATTGTATATTTTAGCTATTATGTAAAGGCTTGTAGGAAAAGCTGTGAGCATTAAGCATGCGGTGTTTACCTATTATTGAATGTGCACTTAGTTTATATCACTGTCTTAGAATTATTGGTAGAATCAGGCGTTACTTTGCGGAAATCCATTATAATAAAAAACAAAAATATAAATTTCTTTGCAACTTTCCGCTAAACATATAAAATGATGTGTCTTACCTGGATTGAAGCGCACCTCCCGCCCTCCCTCAATTGCATACACTAACTCCGTCACCACTAGACCAAGCACCACTACTCTCAACACCACTATTCCAGGCAAGACACACCATCGACGATAATACGACACGTGTTTCGCCTCTACACGAGGCATCATCAGGTAATATAGACTCTACGGCGACTTAGCTCAGAGTTAGTGTATGCAATTGAGGGAGGGCGGGAGGTGCGCTTCAATCCAGGTAAGACACATCATTTTATATGTTTAGCGGAAAGTTGCAAAGAAATTTATATTTTTATTTTTTATTGTCTTAGAATTAAGCAAATGTATGTACATTTATGTTGGTTCACCAACAAATGTATTTACATTTATTGGTGAACCCCGTTCTATTATGTATGTATTATAGTATTCTATGGTGATGTCTGTTATTGTACGTGTAACTTCCGAACGACGTGACCGTTTGAGGTCATATTCACATTATACTAATTGTATTGAGACGATGGTTCAAAGTTGTGCTAGGAACCGATAGGTGGCGTTGAAGTCGACTTATTAAAAACCTCGATATTAATGGATGGACCGAAACTTTTAACTTATACTGGACGACCTTTTTTACCGTCTGGAAAGAAATAGGGTGTAAGTGTAACATGTGAACGGAGTAGAAGCCTATGACACTGATATTTTACAAAAAATAAAAACAAAAATTTTGAATTAAATAAATTAAGTAATTAAAATCTATCGAAATTCAAATCATATCCACCCTACTTTACGAACGGCAATAAAACAATAAAGTAGAAGACCTTGTCACTTCGCAGGGTCACAGGCTAGGGTGGATAGGTTTTGAATTTCGATAAATTTTAATTTATTTAATTTAATTCAAAATTTTTGTTTTTAATAAGTCTTATTTTTTTTTAATAAGTTCCGCTGGTTTTTCCCAGGACAGAGGGTTTTTTTTCCGAACCAGTGTTAAAGTAGAAAAAGTGACTTTCAATAAATATTGTTTATGATCTATATCGAATAAAAAAGTTTCTGTTTCATACACTTGACACTAATGCCTGAGCAAATGGCTCGTCTCCGTTTTGAGAGGCCATTATTATTAATTATTTATATGCATTTATAATTTTATAATTACGTGCGGAGATCGAGTCCAGAACTACTGCTTCTTTCATAATAACCATTTGATAGTTAAAGAATAATCAACCGGTAACATTTAACTGTTTGACTTCAAAAAATAAATAACATAGGCCGTGTGATGGGCGCATAAGAGAAACCATAGAATAATGATTTCTTATATTTACGCGAACACTACACATTGAAATAATACTAGTTTTTTACGGAATTTATCGCGTATATTTAACTTTTTAATACCCGACGTTTCGAGAGTTTTACAGCACCCATGGTCACGGGAAGGACTGAGATGTTCAATGTCCAGCTGTCATAGTTAACCGCGGTTACCATAGATTAAAATTTAACTTTTGTTCCGATCTACACAGTATGAACTTATGGTATCATGGAGTCTTGCAGTTGTATGCTTGGGTTGGGATTTAATTTTATTTATTATAGGTCCCAAGCAGATGGTAGCACCCAGCCATCTTCTCTATTGATAATATTCATTCAATAGAGAAGATGGCTGGGTGCTACCATCTGCTTGGGATCCTATAATAAATAAAATTAAATCCCAACCCAAGCACACAGCTGCAAGACTTCATGATACCATAAGTTCATACTGTGTAGATCGGAACAAAAGTTAAATTTTAATCTATGGTAACCGCGGTTAACTATGACAGCTGGACGTTGAACATCTCAGTCCTTCCCGTGACCATGGGTGCTGTAAAGCTCTCGAAACGTCGGGTAATTAAAAAGTTAAATATACGCGATAAATTCCGTAAAAAACTAGTATTATTTCAACCATAGAATACTATAATATACAATAGAATGGTTGTCAACCTTACTTTGTAGGAGGATTGGCGTCGCCGGAGGCACACATACAAGCAGTTACGTCGTATTATCAGTTATCACTACTACAACTACATTTTAGACTTTTTGACTAATGTTTTCGACACATAAATGTTTCTTTATTTTTGTTTCTAATTTTCACAAAATATAAATAGTTTCGACTTACTGGTTGTAGAATATGTCTTCTCTATTTAAATTCCATTTCCCGCTGTTCTTTCGACACGTAATTATTGTACAATTTGCTATTTTTTAAATAATTTGAACGAAAATTGGAAACGATTGATTGTGTTGACATTTATACGCATGAATTGACGTGTTAGTGACATGTTAGTGGCTACACGGGCTACCCCGTTCTATTATGTATGTATTATAGTATTCTATGATGGAAACACTATCCCCAGCAGCCCGTCCCGTAGGTATCATAAAAGGCGACTATGTGCGATACAATATCCTATGACTTCTGACAGATGGCGGTAAAACCATCGTTTTAACGCCAGACGTAAAATACCCAGACTGGCAACGGGCAGCAGCGCAAGCGCTGACCTTTAAGTCAGACGTCTGGTGCTGCTTTCATCAATTCGCTTGCTAAAGGCGGCTTTTCATAGACGTGGGGGCGAACGAGGCTCACCTAGATGGTATGTGACTAAACCCTGATGGTATGTGACATAAACTACTGCAACACCAAGGGAATTGCCAGTGCGTTGCCGGCCTTTTAGAAAGGAGAAAGCTTTTTTCTTATCGGTCCCTAAGTGGTATCGGTCCGGAAAAATCACCGGTGGTAAACAATTCCACAAAGAGGTCGTATGGGGAACAAAATTCTGAGTAAAACGCAGTGGTGTACCGCCAAGCATCCAGATGCGTGGATTTCGTGAGTTTTGTTGCGATGTGTGTTCGTGAAATACAAATTCTTACGCGGGAGCTATGCTGCAGTTATATTATGGCTTTAGAACGAAAGAGTCGGCTCGACTGGGGAAGGACTACGCTTTCAGAGAATACCATCTTAATGCTGCTTGCTGTTTCGTATAGTGAGTGTAGAGAACCGGAGACATTTTACTGGAAACGAGGCATTCCATCTTATTCCTGAGGGGTGACAACGCATCTGCATTTTGATTTGAAATCGAGGATACATGTAGATGTCTACGGGACATAGCATCCGCTTACCATCAGATGGACTGTGTGCTCGTTTGTCACTCTAACCCTAGTCTATAAAAAAAACTATGTACAAATGAAAAAAAACTTTAACGGGCAGTTAAAGACGATGATATAAATACAATAATATTTAACTTAGAGATCTCCATTAGCTCTCAACGTTTCAGAATTTATGTTGTTCAAAAGCGCCATACAAGAAGAGACCAAATTCCGGTTCCGGAAGACGACCGCCAGCAAACAGACTATCGAAGGCGTTCGATCGCATTACATGTGCAGTCAATCGGGGATATATGTTTACCAGGTTAGCCAGCACTGTGTAATTTATACATTTTTTAACTACATATCCTAAGCCAGGTGCTTCACTACTATCGCAATTGACGGTGACGGTGATGTAGCCTAAGATGATAAAGCGCAGCGTAAGCTTATGTGGATTGTGCAGTTGGAAATTTTCATACAAAAAGCGATAACGTCCCCCACCTTGAATAAAACTAAATTTACGGATTATATCGCGTTTATTTGACTGATTTTATTTATTTTTTAATTCCCGACGTTTCGGGTGCTTTACAGCAACCATGGTCACGGGGGGATTAAGATGTTTGACGTCCCAATGTCATTGCTTAGCCCGGCTACCTTCAGTTGAAGTTTGAATATCAAAATATCAAAAACTGAATGTAGCCGGGCTAAAAATGACATTGGGACGTCAAACATCTCAGTCCCCCGCGACCATGGTTGCTGTAAAGCACCCGAAACGTCAGGAATTAAAAAATAAGTAAAATCAGTTAAATAAACGCGATATAATCCGTAAATTTAGTTTTATTCAATGTGTAGTGTTCGCGTAAATTTAAGAAATCATTATGTCCCCCACCTTGCAAAGTGGTCTAATTTTCATAATTTTTGGAAATGTAGATATAATGAATGAATGTAAGAAAATTATAATGTTTGACGGTGCAAAACTGTATAACGCTTTACCTAAAAATATAAAAGAATCAAAAACGTTATCTTTATTTAAAAACTTATTGAAACGCCATATTTTGGAAAATAACCAAAAAAAATACAAGCTAAATTTAAATCCAAATTAGTTTGTACGCACTCTTATTTCTGTTTCGCTTGCATTAATTGTTCGGTCATTACAAATTATGCGCGACGTTCAAACCTATGTTTACTGTTCTTTTAATTGTTTACGTTTTACCCACATCTATAGCACGGTAATATTATCTATACAGTATTGTAACTCGGCCGTATCTTTCAAATAAATGCCTATAGCCGTGCGGCACGTAAACATGTGATAGGGTTACCTGCTTCCAGCATTTTTACATTTGCCTACTTTGTGTTTCCATTTAGTTTTATGATTGTAAATATACTTTTTTATATAAACAAATAAAATAGGTACTTTGTGAATTGAATAGGAAGTGTTCAATAAAAATGCGTGTCGTTTTTTGATTGGTAGATTTAATTTAAAAACCATGTTTATGTTTGAACAACAAATCGGTTAAATAAATTTGCGACCGAAAAATATTTGCACCTCGGCTGAGACTTACGAAATGCTTTATTATTAGATTTTTAAATATAAAAAATCCGCTTTCTAATATAAAGCTAAAAATAATATAAATTAAAAATTGTTTTGGGAAACATGGACAACGTGGAGAAAAGGAATATCTTTTAATTGGTTATAGATACCTGCAGCTACTTTACAATTTATATGTTTGTTTTTAAATGAAGTTCAGATTTATTATTTCTTTATTTCTATTCTATTATTTATTTCCTCCATTTTTTATATATTTCACAAAATAATCACTGTGGCACAGTCTCGACTGTCTGCATGCCGAGCGCATGCCGAGATCGAGGCGCGTAGGCATAGCTCTCGCTTCGTCCGTTTGTATGAAGTTGGAATACTGTATAGATAAAATTACCGTGTCTATAGTCTATAGTTACTATTCTGTATGCTCGTAATGGATTCCTTTATTATTGTTTGTAAATTTTTAATTTCTCGTAAGCGATTTGTAATCTTTTGAGAAATAAATAATATCTTAAACCTAAACCTAATTAAAAATTAGGTCCGTGCGTTTTTATTTTAAAGAAATCTTGCGTACGATATAAGTTATTAGTATCTAAATATCTATGTTTTTGACTTAAAAACTCCCTCGACTTCTGACTCTACTAAGTCTTATCCGACACTACTTCGATGATATCCCGGACATGAGTCTGAGGGAGATTAGAATGGCTCTCCAGCACCTTTAATACGACAAGTCCGGAACGTTCAATACCGGTTTAAACTATTTTAGACTATGCCATAAAATTTTGCATGAACAAACATTGTTCATAAATAAGAAAAGGTGTATTTACACTAAGTCAAATCATCCATATTTTTGTTCTTTATAAAGAACACTCGTTCTCAGTGTATGGTAAGAAATATTACATTTGTTTTTAAAGAAAAGAACAGTTTTCATTGGTTTGTATTTATTTTCGCCACGAAATCACAAAATAACTAAATCAGGTGAAACATTATTATCATATACCAACTTAGGAGAATTCCTAAGAAGGAAATACCGATATCGCACCATAGTTTTTTTTTTTTCTATAATTGGTACATCACTTACTTCTCGCTCCAGTACATACGAATTTGAGGGTAGTTAAGACATCCCATAAGCATTTATTTCAATAAAATTCAAGCATTCTTCCAGGGTTAAATTTAAACTTTTTCCAGTTTTATCAACAGCAGTTTGGTTACTCAATGTAACTATTAAATTCAGCAGTTATCATCATCATCATTACAGCCCTTCACAAGTTCACTGCTGAACATAGGCCTCCCCCAAAGTATGCCACAAAGCACGATCCTGAGCCACCTGCATCCATCGACTTCCTGCATGTCTTACCAGGTCGTCACTCCATCTAGTGGGGGGTCGCCCTACACTAAGCCTACCGGTACGAGGCTGCCACTCGAAATCTTTTTTCACAACGGTTGTCGGTTCTTCGAGCTATATAGGCCGGCCCATTGCCACTTCAGCTTACTAATCCATTGCGCTATGTCGGTCACTCTAGTTCTACTGCGGATATCCTCATTTGTAAGTTTATCACGCAGAGAAATCCCGAGCATAGCCCTCACCCATAGCTCGCTGAGCGACTTTGAGCATCCTCATACGGCCAGTAGTGAAGAAACACGTCTCGGTTCCATAGGTCATCACTGGCAATACGCACTGGTTGTACAATTTAATTTTCAGGTTTTGAGGTATACCTGACGAGAAGATGTGTCGTAATTTCCCGAACGCTGCCCAGCCGATATGGGGTATGTATTCATAAAGGTATATTATCATGGATGACTTTGGTTCAGAGGGTCTATATAACGGCTGTACCAAAGCAGGGACTTCTTTGTTGAAACTTGATATTGTCCAAGGGGGAGGATCTTGCCCACTACTCCTAAGAACTCTAGCTCCGACAGGACTATGCACTCCACAATGCGTATGTACCGAGCTTCACTCCTGAACTCCCCAAGTATGAGTTCAGGTACCACGGCAGATATTGGTAGAAGGAATATCAATCTTATCCTCATGTTTCAAGCTACTAGAATCTTCGTTTTCCGAGCTAGAAAAAACATTTTTACTAGAAGTAGAAAGCTCCATCTACTTCAGGCTCTTGATAAGTCGGATCCTTATCATCCTCAACGTCTTCAACCTCAAACTCATTGAGAAGCTGATGTATTTATTTATTTATTTAACAGTTTATGTACACACATACTTTGATAGGAAAATGGTAAAAACAAAATTATGTACAAAGGCACTGCTTATTCCATAAATAAATTTCTTCCAGCAGGCCTATTGAAGGATAGTTGAAGGAAATAGAAGTAGTCAAAGTGTTCACTTTAAACTTTTTGGAATTAAATAAAATTCATAATGTATAATAATTCGTTAGTTAATAGAATAAGAGACTATCGTTAGTTTGAGCGCCTACCACTTAATTTTGTTATCGAATTATAATTTAATGGAAAGGATTAGTATACGAATTAACATTTAACAAACTAACTAATAGATTACGAAGATATTAAAGAGACGCCGAAAGTAATTTTAAAAGAACAAATTCCGTTACCACAACATTACTCAATTTATGCCGCATATTTTGTAAAAATAATTCATTACAGATGTTATAAACACATTAGTCAGTAAAAACAAATAGTTATATTCATAATAGTACTCATATTTCTATAAGATATTTATTTCACTCGCACTCAGGCGGCTGTAAGGCTGGTTACAGCCGCCTGAGGAGAGACATCACGCTTATTATATATGTGTGGAAAGTATTACGTGGATGGATATATCACCCAGATGTGCTCGCTGCGTTAAAGCTGCGGGTGCCTAATAATTACGTGAGTTCTCGTCGTCGTCCCCCATCACTCCCCGTGCCCGCTGCTAGGACGAAGTTGCTTCAGAATGCACCATTGTCACGTGCTATACACTGTGTTAATATCATCTCACAGGATATTGACATATTTGCATGTAGTGAGACGAAATTCATAATTGCAGCATACAAACGCGTTGAAAATTGTAATTTTTTTTAATTAGAAGACCTTAGACCCTTTTTACTGGAAACGGGGCATTCCATCTTAGTTTTCACGGGTGACAACGCATCTGCATTTTGATTCGTAATCGAGGATAGATGTAGATGTCTATGCCGCGGCAACCACTTACCATCAGTTGGACTGTGAGCTCGTTTGTCACCCTATCCTATAAAAAAATAGTATTTTATTTTACCAACAATTTGATAGATTTCATACTAGATATCATTATTTATTAGTCAGTAGTTTTCCTATATTTTGTTATAGCATAGTTATATAGTTAGTTATAGCATCGCATTGGTTTAATAACTGTAATGATGTTATAATTGTGTAATAAATAAATAAATAAATTTATTGATTTACTCACGTTGTTTATAACTTTCCGCCATTGACACCCTTGGTCTATGTTGACACCCTTTCGTGGCCACTTCACTCAATGTTTGTGACAGGTACAAAAATATAACTATTGAAATGACGCGGTTTTTTTTCTATATAGTTGTCGAAAATTAAGAAAACGAATATGTTCTATTTTTAGAACGTTCGGTCGCAACTCGCAATGATATCTCCCATTTCTCTATAGTCAGGCCTTAACAATGACTATCATTTTGTTCTATATGAAAAAAGTTCGATCCTTTATGACAATTAATATTTCAAAAGTCCGGGTCTTAGGAGGTTATATAGTAATTATGACGTAGGTACATAGGTAGGGTAAAGGATGATTCACGTTACACTGTGTCGCGACCGGGCCGGGCTTCATCCTGGGTTCGTTCACCGTAAGCTGGCCGGACCAGTCGTTTCAAATTTAAATTTATTTATAGCTACAATGTAGTACATAATAATATGATGTTATTAGTTATTAACGAGACCTTACATTCTACCATGATAATTGCGTGCAATATTTTACATTAAAAAAATATTAATACAATTCAGTGAAATAACTTATTGAACAAAATGAATTATGTGTACCTATTCAAAAAATTCGTCAAGTTGTTAGATTACAATAAATACTACATGTCAATTTTTTTTATTAAAATGTAGGTAAATGTTTATATATGTATAAATGTCAAATATCTAAAAAGTCAAAAAATTGTTAAAAAAAATGTTAATGTCAAAAATTCTCTCAAAAAGATCAGATTTTTTCATATTTCACCATTATTAAAATAGGAGATGATTTTTATTTTTGGATGAATGCATAGTACAACATGTTACTATATTGTCATAAATTGTATCAAACTATTACTAAAATTGACATAAATTGCAATTCACTTATAAAGAAATTTATGTTCCGGCTTCAATTTTTTTTATCGATAGCTAATAACGTAATAGAAGAAAAATGTCAGATAATTATTAATTATTTTTAAATAGAATGAAATCTCAATGCTCAGTGAAACTACAGTGGTTCATTCGTTAAATTTACAATCTAGAAATTGCGTTGATGCTGCACGGCCGTGTCTGTGAAAGGTGTTTGATGTCAACTAGTGGTTACCTCCATACCGAGTTTCGGTCACGGCAGCCCGTTTCAACGGAGACGCCATAGGAGCATCTCAGGGTTATAGTGCACGATTGTATATGCGCAAGCGCAGGTTCACTCCCTATTCCCTCTCTCACAGAATGGTAATCCCGAAACCACAAAAACTATTTTTATAACAGTCGCGTTATTAACGAGTCAGCTGTAATAGCCAGTTAGCACAGGTTTTTTCGGTATTAAATCAGCACACGGTCCACCTGATAGAAAGTTGAAGCTGTGGCCCGTGGACATTTCATCTTATTACTCGGTTGTCACCCCTCGCGCATCTGCATTTTGATTCTTAATCGAGGGTAAATGTAGATGTCTATGGGCCACAGCATCCACTTACCATAAGGTGGATTGTGTGCTTGAATTTAACCCTTATTCTATTTTTAAAAAAAAACATCCATCTAACCTCAAGTAATAATCGAAAAGCTGATGCGTTGTCACTCTTGAGGACTGCGATGAAATGCCTCGTCTACGTAAAAACGGTCTCCGGTTAGACACTTACCATACGAAACACAGCAAAAGTAAACTGTTATTTTACGCTGGTATTCGATGAGAGCGTGGTCCTTCCTCGGTTGAGCAGAATGTTAGTTCGCATATCACTTTATTTTTTAATATAAAATTCGTTCATTTTTCCATTAGGGTAAAGGTAAGCGGCCGACTCCCGAACGCCAAATATATAAAACGGGTAAAGCCTGCCCGGCACACATGATAGTCACAGAGACGCTGGATAGAGTTCTCGTGACGTTCTACAAGACGCACGTCGGACATGGAAGTAAGTTTGTAACTTTTCGTCCCGGAATCCATCTTTATTATCTATCTTTACAGGCTATAAAGTCTACTGCTGAATATATGTTACCTGTTAAGAATGATTGATATTTGGCAATTGATAGAATCAGGCGTGACCATAGAATACTATAATACACAATAGAATGGCTGTCAACTTTATTTTGTACGAGGATTGGCGTCGCCAAACCCGATTCGCTGTGTTGACAGACTGAGTAAATTTACACATTTTAGACTTTTGATTAATGTTCAAGATCATTATTAAATTTTAATACATATTTATTTGTAAATAAGGTGCAATTTGGCATTTTCTAAATAATTTGCATGCGAAATTTGGAAACGATTGTAACGTCAAACACATCTTGTGTTGACATTTATAAGTGTGAATTAACGTGTTAGTGACATTTTGGTGGCGACACGGGCTCCGCCCGTTCCCCCGTTCTATTATGTATGTATTATAGTATTCTATGGTGCACGCAATTGAACGAGTACGGGAGGTGCTCTTCAAACTAGGTAAGACTCATCATTTTATTATATTAAGCGGATATGTTTTTTTTTTTTCTTTATGCCCACCCGGGTTTTTTTTCTGTCATTTACGCGAGGTAGTGGATATTCCGCCACTACACGGTTGTAGACATGTGTCATTCATTCATTTCTAGTGACCCGATTTAAATTTCAAGTATTGATTCGTCTTACGAATCGAGTCATTCGGGTAGATCGTTCAAATGGATCATTTCAGAGTTTCGGTACTCTGTTATCTGTGAGATCCGCTCGATAATGTAAGTTGACGAACGTAACTATACTCTGGTCGTAGGCTCAGCCAAATGTTTGATTCGGAACGGTTATAAAAATGTAAGTGCAATCATCAATACTTTGATTTTGAAATGAACGAATCATTCACAATCGACACATGTCTACACGGTTGTCCTATAGTTTCTCTGATTTAATTTTTCAACGAAATGTTTTCAGCCTGTCCGTATTATGAGCCACGGGAGCCCAAACCAGCCAAATGCGAGCAATTGGAAATGGACGCCCCACAGTTGATATGCGACGCGTGTGGGGTTGGGTTTTTAAACGTAGACAAGTTCAAAACCCACGTAGCTTCGCACGGACTTAAGCTGTACCCGTGCGAGCACTGTGATGACGTAAGTGTGATCTTTTCGCTCTCTCTCTCTCTTTTTTATATAGAATAAAGGTGACAAACGAGAACACAGTCCACTTGAGGCATTGACTACTCGCTGTAAATTTTACAGTATGCGAGCAACCCGGGTTCGATCCCCACCGGCACCAATGGAATTGTTAATTGCAATTTCAAGTGCTGATTTACCACGTGCTCTGCGGTAAAGTAAAACATCGTAAGGGGTACCTGCATCGATCTGCTTAATAAGACATTAATCAGAAAAAAAATTCCTAAGACTTGTTAACTTCGCCAACACACAATGGGGCAGCGCGGCGAAGTTACTACATAAAATTACAGTCCATTATAGTCCCACAACGTTAAGAACAAGGCAGACTCATTTTCAAGCTTAAAGTCCGTCTATGTTACCACAACCTGCTCACCTATCTCTGCTGCCAAGAAGCATTACAGCCGCTTGCTCATGCTCCTAGTATCTGTAGTCTTGCTGCCTGGTGTAGTATCAACCTAGGTAAGCTAATGTTTTGGTATAAGTACTAATAACTATAAAATAATGTACCAATACACCCATATTATATATATATATATATATATATATATATATATATATATATATATATATATATAATATGGTGCCGTGGTAGCTTAGATGGTTAGCGCTTGCTGTAAATTTCACAACACGCGGGCAAACCGGGTTCGATCCCCGCCGGCACCAATGAAATTGTTAATTGCAATTTTAAGTGTGAGGTGGCGGTGAAGGAAAACATCGTGAGGAAACCTGCATGTCTGATAAATAAGAAAAATAATATTTCGAAGACACGTGAAGTTCGCCAACACGCATTGGGGCAGCGCGGCGGACACTTCCTTGCCCTAAAACCCTCTCAGAAATGAGAGGAGACCTGTGCCCAGCAGTGGAACGTATATAGGCTGTAACTTTACTTTTTACTTTATATGTATATATATATATATATATATATATATATATATATATATATATATATATATATATATATATATATATATACGCTGGATAAGAACGGGTTTTACGAGTCACATAAAAAAATTCCAGATATTTTAGATGTAGGTTCAGCAATAAAAAAAATGTATAGAATAAGGGTGACAAACGAGCACACAGTCCACCTGATGGTAAGTGGATGCTGTGGCCCAATTGATATCTATATTTACTCTCTATTAAAATTCAAAACATAGTCGCGTTGTCACCCCGGGGGACTAAGATGGAATGCCTCGTTTCCAGTGTAAAAGCGTCACTGGATCTCTATACTCACCATACGAAACACAGCAGTATTGAACTGTTATTTTACGCTGGTATTCTGTAAGAGCATGGTCCTTCACCGGTCGAGCCGACCCATTTATGCTACAACCATAATATAGCAGCAGCGTGGGGCTCTACCACGTATTAAACAACCTGCTAGAAACAGGATTTTGTACATGACGACAGTATACGAGTCTGTACACAAGCACAGGTCCGCCCTCTATTCACTCAGTCGCATGGTCTGATGGAACGGCAATCCGTCACAACTAAAGACCTATCAGGCTCAGGAACAACAGGTTTCCGAAGAGCAGGTTATAAAACACCGCCAATTCCAGGCATTATGGATTTCTTTACACTGAGTCAAAGGCAAACAAAAGGCAAAGGAACACTAAGTCAAAGGCATTCAATTTTATCAAGTCTTTACACCACCAACGTAGCATTAAGCAACGTAGAATTTTTTGTAAATTGACTTTTACTTTCATTTTCAGCTTTTCCAAAACGTTGACGCCTGGACCCGTCATGTGAGAATCGAGCACGATGATAGTAATTTGTAACAGATTTTTTTTATATTTAGAGACAGCGCATACCAGTTGTAATTCAGTCTATGTTTATTTGTATTATTAATACCCGGTTTAATTTTGCATGACATCATAATATCTTAAGTATTATCTATCGACTGTCCGCGACTCTACTCGTGAGGAATAGGACATTACGGCGGGTATGTTCCAAAATAGAACCCAGTGTACTGTCCAATGCAAATGACGTCATGAATCGACGCTATACTGGTGATTCGTTCCAAAACATAGGACAGTATATGACGCCACACATTTGCGCCATATTGGAAAAGTGTTGGAGATTATTTTATCATTTTGTGCTCCAAAAGTCATTATATCCTCCTAATGGAGATACCAGCAATTATTCTATATTTTTTTGTATTTGAATAAATAAAAACAATTTCTGACATGCTTCATTCAGCGCACACATAATTAAAAATACGTGTGGCACTCGGTGACTGCCGCGGTAAAGCTATTGCATAGCGTTTTTTATCAACTTATGCAATTATTCATTTATTTTATTTATGCAGTTAAGTCTTTGATATTAAATCAAGTTACACTTTTTGAGCGTGGTGACCGATAAGAAAACAATTTTTTTTTCTCTTATTGAATAAATGAGAAGTTAATATTGTTTAAAATATTTTTAATATCTTACAATACATGTAGGTTATTCAGGAATTTTTATCATTGAGTTAGCAGCTAGTGTACACGCATACGTCTAGTCGCACGTACACAAACACCGTGCCGAAGTCTGGAGTGGAAGTCTATCGAACTGAAACGACGTTAGACGATGCACGGCTTTCAACGCCACACCTCCGTGCCCGTCGGAGTGGGGAGCGTGAGGTTTTTTTCGTTACGGAATTTCTGGATTCGGTCCCCGCGCTCAAGGCCCGCGATAGAAGCTATGCAATAGCTTAAAAACTTGTTTTATTATGGCCAGATATCCGACACAATATGGCGGCGGCACGCCAGTACAATATAGTGTCAATTGATGACGTCATTTGTATTCGGTAGTATACTGGAAATGTTTCGGAACATACCCTGCAATTATAATAAATCCTCTTTCTTCCTCATTAGTGACCTTAGTGAATTACCTACTTACATGCCAAATTTGAATTCTGTAATAATTATAATTACGGAAATAAGGCAATTTTAAGGCGAAAAGATAAACCCTCCTTTTGCCCTATCCCTTGGGAACTTGGGAAAATCCTGAAAACTATTAATGATAACAATTACCTACGTATGTGCTAAATTCTAAGTCTCATATAAATATATTTACGGAAATATGGCAACTATAATGTAAAGCGATAAATCCTCTTTATTTTCGATCCTGTATGGTAAAAAGTATTTCACCAATAGTTCTAAGACTCATAAAAACCCTATTTTGTAGTTTACTTAAAATCTTATACTATTTATAATAAAAGTATTAGGTACTTATATTAAGTAACATATAAAAAGTACAGATATGATTCTGTTCATGTATAGTAGTTCGGGGACAGATGGCCATAGTTTTCCTTGCGGCATTCTATTTTAAAGTCCATGAAATAAAACAACTATTTTTATTTTTATTCAGTCGTTTGTTCATTACTAATGAAATTAAACATGAAATAATAACAAAAATCCAACATTAATTTAACTTAAAAAACACACACACACTGGGGTACCATCTCTCCTATGCTATTCAATATAAGATGACCATAGAAGTTGAGGTAAGATGGACATACTATTTTTATCAATATAAAATGGCCATATGGAGAAATCATAAGAAAATGAGCGCTTTAAACCTCAAATACCGTCCTATGAAAGGGAAGAAGGATTTTTTTTTCAGATGCATAATCTTCATGTCACATGTGTTACATTTACCTTCGAATTGCGTGCAGTTATCATGTACCCAACACTTGCATACGGTATACTGAATCCAGTCTTCTATTAGTTCTGTTTCGTTATAGTTTTCGCCACATGCCACGCAGTCGTTAACAGAGTTTTCTAGAGGGGAAGATTCGCCGCTCTATGAGAACCGGTATATCTTCATCCTCTGTGTCAATAGATTCCTACCACTTCTGGGACTTTTTATTTTGTAGCTTAACTCTGTTTCTTTTCTGGTCATATTATTTGCTAGTAGGTTCCTTCTGTTTTCTCCTTTCCTTTTGATTAATAGGTTCATCTTCAATATCCGTGTCGGAAGATTTCTGCCGCTTCTGGGAATTTTTCTTTTCTAACTCTATTTTGTTTTCCTTCTTTACACATTCCATATTAGTACATTTATCCTGCTTTATTTTCCTCTTCCCAATGACCACATTTCTCTTTTTGTCACAACCTTACCTGTGACTTGCGTGAAGTTTCGATGTTAATAAGGTTGCTTTTGAAATCTTTGGGCGTTAATGCAAAACAATTCTTTCGCTTGTCAATTATATTTTGAACTAGTCTTCTTTCGTGATCCAGTTTATAAACGGATAAAGGACCCATGGGCCTCTTTAAAAAAAATTGATTTCAAATGCCTCTCCTCGGGTTTTCTTGGCACACCATACTCCAAAGCAGCCTGTCGAATTGAGGCTAGTGTCAAATTGTTTTGACTCTATTTACCGCGCTCACCAGATTTTGGACATGTAAAGACATCTGGAAAACAAAAAAGTTGCTTAGATATGTCATAAATAAGCAATAAATATAGTAGGTAATATGGCCATCTAACCTTCAAAAATTAGGGTCATCAGTCCTAAAATATATAGGATGGCCCAACCTTAAGAATTAAATCAACAAAAGTACCGCGTTTGGAGGTTATGTTAAAAACACGTATATGTTCTAAGTGGTACAGTTTAAAATACGGCCAAAAAGGTGTCTACATTATGTCAACAGTTTAGTCACTAACCAGGCGCATTTATTTTGTAATTAGCTGAAAGAATTAACAGCAAATTACTCACTTATTTATATTTTGCTGCAAACTTCAACACACTGTCGCGAGAATAATGGCGGCGTCCGAACTAACCACAAAAAACCTAACATCTCTTGGCGAGAGTTGGAAATATTTCATTGGGCCATGTCTCTTCTATGGCCACCTGTCCTCGAATTACCCTAGTCCTTTTTATCAGAGAAGACATAAAAACTTACCTCGCAAAATATTAAATTCAACGGGGAAACTAACATGGCAATACATTCGGGTTGTGTGGGCGCGGCTACCGATGGGTAACAATACGATTATGGAGTGTAGAGGTAAGGAGTACAGACTCTGTATAAAAAAGTATCCATAGGAAAGCGCTAAATAAGGGTGGCGCCACTGTAGCTACAGTCTAAATTTTAAAGGAACTTTTTATAATTTTTTTAGCGCACAGAGTTTCACCATAACTCTTTTTACAATAATTATTTTATTGTTTTCAAAATTTTTAATTTGAAAATCACTCTCAACGTATTATTTTACGGCGATTTATCATACCCCGTAGCTACTCGATCGCTGTTGTGGAGTTTTTAAACTGTTATTTACTGCTCAGAGACACATTTTCAACTATTCTCCTATGAGAGATTGTCCTTCTTACCTCTATTCTCCATGAATACGATGGTATTCATCGCCAACGACGCGACGATGTGGCCAGATTTAAAAAAAAAACTATTTTTCCTTGTGAATAAAATCTGAGCGTCATGAAGGCAAGAGTAAATAGGCTTTTGTTACACTATGATAATGCGATTTACCATTTAGGGATTCAACACCACTTACCACCAGATGGGATTGGTTTTGACACAATGTTATATGGATTATAAAAATTCAAAAGGTGATGTGGGTGGTACGTCACTGAAGACCAGAGATATTCGCATGGGTTGTGCTCTGCTCTTAAAGCAAAGAAGTGAGCGTAGGTTTATCAACTTAGTCATTAGACTTAAAGATAGGTTCACTGTATGTTGATGCCGCCTGGCATATAATAGTATTTTTCATAGACATGGGTACCTCAGCCGCAGTTTACTACGCCGGCTTATTGCGCTAATTCAAAATTGCGCCATGGCGCAACAAATTTTACACACAACTGTCAACTCAGTTATCGTAAATCCATGTGGCCAGTGAGTAATGTAATAAAATTCATAAATATTTTTAAACACTTGATTAGTTAAATAGTGTTTTGTTACTTTCTAGCGACAAGTGTTTCGCAAATGTCAGAATGAGACAAAACGCTTTTTAACTAATCAAGCGTTTAATTTTTTTTTATGAACTAGGGGATAAATGTAGGAAACAGATGCCAATCCTCTTTTCGAAGTCGCAGTTTATAAAAATATAAAATTGCATCCAGCCGATCGTCCACCGCAAACTAAACTAACTTAGTTTATGCTAGCTCGCATAGCTGAGACAATTTTTCGAACATGTGTGTCCACCGCAAACTGCCAGCTAAGCTAGGTTAAATAGCCAAACTAAGTTGTGTAAGCCGATCCGAAACTACGCGAACATAAGCTAAGTGCCTCCCACCCCTTTATCTAAACCCTCTAGCGCCTTTCGATAGTGTTGTTTGTTTAGTGCACGGCAGGGTGATCCATCTTTGTATGAAAGCTGAGAAGTTTGCACACAATCATGATTTGGTCATCGTAAAAATATTTTGACATCTTAACGTTTTCATCGTCTACTTCGTGTTACTACGTACGTACTACTTCTATAAACTGAGTGTTAAATTCTCCGCTTATTTTCCAATATTGAATATGCTTGCTTATCCTATGTCTGTGTTTGCGTTTTCTCTTTGTGAAATGAGCAGTAATCAATCTCCTCATATCCTCCATAACTCTCGTCACAGCTCTTTTCTTGTTCTTCCATCACGTCCGATTAACTCAACACACCAGCACAAACTGGCCATCACTAAGTTTTAGCTTATTTTTCGGTGGACGTGCAATGATTTTCCAGGTTGGCTTAGCATAGTTTTCCCGTAGTTTAGTACGCGGCGGACGTTTGGCTTTAGTGTTCATTGGCACTCCTCTGCATTCTGCGGGCAACTCACGTGTCCAATGTCCAGATCTTGCGCTACGCGCGAACA